CTCGTGAAGAAGATTATGAAATTCTTAAGTTTTTTCTTTATTAAATAGTGATTTCAGAATTTTGTTATGCATGTAAAACATTTTTAAGTAAAATTTTTGAAATAATTTTGTAGCTTTTAATTCAAAAATAAAAAAATCCTAAATTTTATAAAAATAATTACTTTATAAATATATTATAATTTTATAATATTTAATTTAATATAATTTAATGTAAAGAGTAGATTTGTCATGTGTTCCCCTCCAAAACTGCAAAATTTTTGTCGTCATCTTATATTTGCACACTGCCAGAACAACCTCCATTTTTGAAGTTGCGCCAGAAGGCATCCTTCTTTCCACTCCACCTGCGATCCTTTTTTCTGTCTTTATCTCCCGCTTCATTTCTTCTCTACAGACTGTTCTCTCTCTACCTTCTTCCTACTCCTTTTACATCTCTCCCTGTCTCTCTGTGGTCATGGCTGCTCTTTTCAGACTGTTTTCTCCTCCTCCGGTCATCACCGCTTTTCAGCCCATTCATTTTCCCCTTCCTCTATTCTCCTCCCCAAAAATCGACACAAATTCAAGAAAATTTCGTCACAGAATCTCAGTCAGTAAGTTCGGTAACTTCCTTGATTTGAACCCTGAATCAAAGCCAGATTTCTTGGATTTTGATCTCCCTTGCTTCCACTCTTCTGATCGCTCCCTCTTTGATGTCATCGTTATTGGCACCGGCCCTGCCGGTGCTCGTCTTGCGGAGCAACTCTCAACGCGTGGAATCAAGGTATGTTGTGTCGATCCTTCTCCACTTTCTATGTGGCCTAACAACTACGGAGCTTGGGTTGATGAGCTTCACAGCCTAGGGCTTGACGATTGTTTTGACCGAATATGGCCGCTTTGTTCTGTATTTATTGACGATAGCAACATTAAATTCTTGCGTCGACCTTATGGCAGAGTTAGTAGGAAGAAACTGAAGACGAAATTAATAGAGAATTGCGTTGTCAATGGGGTTAAATTCCACAAGGCCAAAGTTTGGAGAGTAGATCATAAGGAGTTTGAATCTTGTGTTGTATGTGATGACGGCAACGAAATTAGGGGAAGCTTGGTCGTTGATGCAAGTGGATTTGGTTCTACTTTTATAGAGTACGATAAGCCAAGGAATTGTGGGTATCAGATTGCTCATGGTATTTTAGCCGAAGTGGAAACTCACCCCTTTGATTTGGATAAGATGGTTTTTATGGATTGGAGAGATTCCCATCTGGGAAACGAGCCTTATTTGCGCGCTAGCAATTCAAGATTCCCAACCTTTTTTTGTATGCTATGCCATTTGCCTCAGACCTGATATTTTTGGAAGAGACTTCTCTGGTTAGCAGACCAGCATTGTCTTATATGGAAATTAAGAGAAGAATGGTAGCTAGACTCAGGCATTTAGGAATTAGAGTGAAGAGGGTATTGGAGGATGAGAAGTGCTTGATTCCAATGGGAGGTCCTCTCCCTAAAATCCCTCAAAATGTGATGGCTATAGGTGGGAATTCAGGGATTGTTCACCCTTCAACCGGGTACATGGTAGCTCGAACGCTGGCTTTAGCCCCGGTGGTGGCAGATGCGATTGCGGAGTGCCTTGGCTCCACAAGAATGATCAGGGGTAGGCCACTTCATTATAGGGTATGGAAAGAGTTGTGGCCAATTGAGAGGAAATATGCCAGGGAATTCTATTGCTTTGGTATGGAGACCCTGTTGAAGCTGGATTTAAATGGAAGTAGGAGATTCTTTGACGCTTTCTTCGGTTTAGATCCTGATTATTATCATGGATTCCTCTCCTCAAGATTGTCTTTGAGAGAACTTTTTGGATTGAGCTTATCTCTTTTCATCCGAGCTTCAAATTCTTCCAGGATGGACATTGTCACCAACTGTCCTGCACCTCTAATCAGGATGGTGGGTAATCTTGCTCTGCAACCCTTTTAAGTGTGGTGAGGGATTGCAATTATAAACTATATTTTATTTAATGTTTAATAAAACTTTTTAAAATAGTTTAATTTTCAGTATTTTGATGTTTAATTAAGCATTACAATTTTATTTTGTGAAACAAATCTAATTTCAAATTTAAACAAAAAAACAAATAAATATTAAAAATAAAATTATAACAAATGCTCTAATTTATAGCTTGTTAAAAACTGGAAAAAAGCAAAACCCATAAAGGAATAAACAGCATTTTCTTTTTTTTTTTTTGAGATTAGAATATATCATCATAGTTTTTTACTTATAAATTCAAATAACATTAAAACCGATGAACTAAAAATTCTGATTAAATTAAGTTGACGTGTTAGTGTCCGACAAAAAAATTTAAATTTTACAAATTGATTAAGTGTCTAATTAAATATTTTATTAAATTAAAAAATTTATTAAACGTTTGATTAGATATTTCGTTTCGTTCATTAAAACTACATAATTAAAAATGACGATATCACAATTACGCCAACTAAAAATTTTATTGAAATTATGTTGTAAATAACTTATTGAACATCTAACTAATTAAAATTTCATAATTAAAAATTCAAACAATTATTTGAGTCACTGGAGAAATAAAATAAAATATGTCTTATATTAAGTGTTAAAATAAAAAATTTAATAAAAATATAATTAATTATATAACCTGTACTAGATTCGAACTGGAAATGATGTTATATTATGTCATAAAAATTTAAAGTTTAAATTATTACAAAATTTGCTTCCTGGTCTAATTTTTAACTTTTAAATAATATATATTTTCTATTTTCTTCAAAAGTTTTTGTTATTTATTAATTTTTCACTTGGCTATGTGGTGTTTCAGAAGGGTTCTGCGTTGAGCAACGGAGTCAAGTCTGGGGAGGCAAACTTGAAGTAAACTTACCATGTGCTGAGTCTGCTGACTGCTTGCACTTTTCCTTTTCAATTCCCTCCTTTTGTTTCTCCTTAGCAGATACTTCTTTCTTTCTCGCTTTTTATATATATATATATATAGGCGTGGACATAGATATATATGTATATAACAGTTCATATTGGTGGTTGAATCAAGTCCGTTCTGGTTTTTAGGGTTTAAATCGAATAACCGAATCGATGAGGCCAATAAGGCTTCCGGAACCGCCAAGCCCTAACAGGGGTGTGCCGGAGATCTTCGAAGGTGGGGCCTACAACGTAATCAGGCGCGCCATCGTTATCGGGAACGGGTTCCCGGGCTCAGAGAATCAGAGCATCGGGTTGGTCCGCGCTCTCGGGTTAGCTGACAATCACGTGCTATATGTGAGTTTAAATTCAACTAACAAATTGAATTCTTCAGTCTCATTAGAACTGCTGGTTATTGATCCTGTATGCGGCCATCCGTTTATTAATTTGTATACCATATTAGCGTACATTGAAGATAGTGTAACTATAAAATAATTGACTGACTTGTTAGTTGTGATAGAAATCTTAAATTAGAAGATTGCTTTTAGTGATTTTTCTGGTTTATCAACCAGCACAACTCAGTTGATGGAAAAAAGTTGCCTTTTACTGGTTTTTGTTAGAGTACAAAGTCTAGAAGGGTGATTTGATCTGAGTAGAAGATGTGAACAAATAATATAAATATGAGTAAGATTAAGCAGAGATGGAAAGTTTACGACGGACTGAAGAATGTAGCTGTAACTAAAACTCAGACAGTTCATCCGGTTTTTTTCCCTGATAACATGTGATTGGATCTAGGTGGGATTGTACCCACACCATCAAGTTTCACAAGGCGAGAAAAGTTCCAGCTTGCAAGGCTCTGAAAACAGTTTCAATGAGTTGAGCTGTAGTACCAATAGTCCAAGGGTTGCTAGTTATAAGGAACTTTTTGGTAGGAAAAGAAACATTACTGCTAATTTGGCGCCTAGAGGATATCTTCCATACTAAAAAGAGCAGTTCTAATGATAAATTTTAATTTCAAGAAAATGATAGCTTTTCCTCATTTAGAAAAAACTTCAGGTTCCAGCCTTTTCTTATCTATTTCCAAAACCCAACATATTGGCATTTTCTTCCTCCGTTACAAGTCCAAGCCAAGCAAAGTTTAGTGACACAACTTCCTTCTCACCAGCATAAAGGCCACAGCCATTGATGAAAGAAGCATGTTTCTAGATTAGGTAAGAGAGTTCGAAGCCAAGCCTTTTCTTTTTAGGTTTCGAGTAACCTAATGGAGCTTTAATTCAGTAGAAGATTTAGGGAACTTTCTTGACACTGCGATTAATTTGTAAATTTTTGTAAATGGGCGGGCACCCCTTAGGTGCCAATATTAATACATATTACACATTTTTTATTTCAAAAAAGAAACTTCACCCAGAAAATGGTGACCTCATATTTTTGGGAAAGAAGTTCCTTTAACTTCAAACTATTCAGAAAAGGAGCATTTTAGGAGTTTACTGAAATCGACTAGATTATCTTGTCTAAGAAACATTATTCTCATATGAATTACTTCCCAGACATTATGTGAGGTACAATGTCAGTAAGGATCTTTGAGATGTATTTGAATTCTTAGAATATATTCCTATAGAACTTTGAAGAAGCACGTATATTTAAAATGAGCAAGAAGATCCTGTAACTCCAACTTATCCGGCAAAATATCATGATAGGAGTTTACTTAACGGCATGTCCATTGCCAAAATTTTCTTTTTATATGATACATCTGCTAGTGATGATATAAGATGCATTTTTTGTGGGGATTGTCAAGGTTTACTGCAATCCTTTCAACATATTCCTTCTGTGGAAGTTGAAGAACTGAGAAAATCCTCAAAAATTCAGAGTTTGAAGTGCCAATCAGTTATGTAATGAGTGGAATAAGGAAGTGCCTGGAAAAGGGAAAAGATATATTTGGTATTTAGTTTTGGAATATGTCAAAAATTTTGGTAGAAGTGTACTTCATATCTATTTTAAATTATCCATCTGCAGTTGTGGTATTTATGTTTCTGTTATGATTGCTATTGGAACTCCATTCAAGTCTCATCTGTAATTGTTCTGCAACCTTAATTTATAATGCGATGCCCTGTCTTCAAAATCTTCTACTATTCAGTAAATGAAAATTTCTGACAGATGTAATGCATACATATATGATTTACTAATGCTGTACCTGAATTGTGTGCAGCGTGTTACAAGGCCAAGAGGAGGAATAAATGAATGGCTCCACTGGCTCCCGGTTTCTCTTCATAAAAAGTTAAATTACATCATCAGGCAGATTTATGGTTACTCACGACTATTTGTAACAACTCAAGGGGAGAAAGTACCCATAGCCTTAGAAAATGGTGGTAATGTTGGCTTAACATCTATTTTAGAAGCTGATGCAAAGCAGATTGTGACCCTGGCTCGAGAAACTTATGAAAAGTACATTCTCTTTTTAACACTTGGCTTCTGTGATTGTTTTATTTTCTACATCTTAGCAGGCACTAAAGCCACTAGTTTTTCATCGGTTTTGCGTTCTGGGATCCTTTCTTCTTATTATACTTATCCATTGCATTCAATATAACTTTGCAACTGTTTTTTATCCGATCAATATCTGGATCGAAACAAAATAATATTAACTTTATAAATGTTTATAATTTGATTCAACAAAGAAATAAGGAAAATTTAAAACCAATTTAGTGATTATAATAGTGCCTCCAGTTGTGCCCATTCTTTATAACACATTATCCTGGCAAGTACTTTCGTTATGATTTTGTCGCAAAATGTTTGAATGGTCATTCAGTTAAAACAGTGGTAATCTTCAGATGCATTATATTGCATTTCTTTACGGAAAATTTAAGAGTTGATCATCGTTATTTTTTCCCGGAGAGAGAATAATTTACTTGCAGAAGATTAAAGTTTACTATTGAAAACATGAGGGCAACTTTTTATTGTCTGAGGACTGGCATAATCCTAGTGCTTTGGTGCAGTTTCTGGTCAGGTTGCACTTTGAGAGACATGCGTTGATCCTTACTGACTATGAATTGATGCTTTTCCTCCACAATCTTTCTGCAGCTTTACACTTATTCTACCTTTTATTTGCCTAGGTTTATGTTTAGTCAATGCATATATTTATTTAAAAAACATCAGTGCATGTACTCTCAACTTTTTGTCTTTTTTTCTTTAGGCAAAGAACCTTTTTTTTTGGGCTTTCCTAATTCAGATATATATATTTGTATTGGCTTTCTTAATTCTTTAGACAAATAACTCATTTCCATGTTAAACCTCTAAACTCCTTTCAACTGTCTCAACAACCTGACTGCAGGATATGGACTCTTGACTCATCTGGGTTACATATCTGCAAATCTTTTTTCGATCACCTCACTAGAACCCGTGGTTTTTACCACAACATACTTACCAAGCATTTCTGGTTAGTTAAGGTTCCATCACAGGTGAAGGTGTTCACTTGGATTACATAACTAAATTGTTTAAACACTAATGAGCTGTTGCAAATTGGTAAAAGCTTTCCCTTGTGATATTTGTATGAGTGCTACTGGAGCGGCAGCACCTACTTCTCCATTGTGAGATGGTGTGGAAAGTATGGTGTAAGTTGTTTGACACTTCCAATTTGGCTTGGGCTGCTCCCCCTTCACTGGAGTCTTTTTTTAAGTCTAGCATTAGTGGATTTGATATTAAGGTCAAGGCTTGACCCCTTACAGAAAGGTGTGTTCTTCGCTGGCTTATGGACAA